CATAGTTGGATTTCATTCTGAATAGGTTGAAGATTGACCTACTGCTTTCAACTGTACAAAATTGTCTGAAGAATCCATATATAATCTGCAATCACTTCTTTCTTTTAGCTATTCTAATTAAATCCCTCATTTGTCAATGCCTCTGTTAGATACCATTGAATTGAGCCTTACCCTTAGCAATTTATGGATGAATGTCCACCATCACAGTCTGTCCTTGGAAATAATCCATAGCTGTGTCAAGGACATTCCAGTGAACTTGATTCCATCTGTCCACTTTAACCCTTGTTCTCCTTCCTTCAATCTTCCCAAGAACAGTCATTTTTTTGTAGGTCATCATCTGCTTCATCATATGCTCAAAGTATATAGTTTCTGTTGCTGATCATCATCTCAATAGAGCACACAGTGTTTGGTCCAGGACCAACTGGTTCATTCTTCTTGAGTGTATAGTATGCTTATGGGTATTCAAACAAATATGAAATCAAATAATCCTGAGAAGAAACCACTTTGAAATAGGTTAAGGAGGAAACGAGCCATATATAAATCCCATTAGATTCCTGTAAGTACGATGTTGCAATTAAATTTTCACTTACGGAGAAAAGCAGTGATGCTTTGGCATTTGGAGCTTTCAATCTGGAAACAGCCCCACTCTGTCATTGGAGTAAAGAACCTTGGGCTGTCCAGACTCTGTAGACTTCAATACCTTCTAGTTCCAACCAATATAATGGCAAGGAAGTGTTGAAGCTGTACTTTAAAACATCTGGCAGGTTGCATGTCTATCCCTGCTCTACATTAACAGTGATTTGTTGTGTGGATGGTAATAGCAACCATGTGGATCAGATAAATACATTTGACATGCAACATTTTGCTAATGAGCTTTGCTTGTACTTCTTGGAAAACTACCCCACTAAACACAATGCTTTTGATTAATATGTTTTATTGTTTTGATTGTTTTGATTGATTGATTGATGGTGCCAAACCAGATTAAAAGAGGAGATCCCATTCTGGAGAAGGAGTTTGAAAGAAAGCATGTTGAAATCTCTTTGAAACGTATCGTCCGAGACATCAGTGAGGTATGGATTTGTTAAAAAGGTTAAAAAGGTAGATGGAATTACAGGTCACAATATACAAGTAAATCCACTTCGCTTATCTTCTTTGTCAGGCCCTCTTATCAGAAAACTAATGGGTGGAGAGATCTAAATGTTTGGAGACGCACAATTGAAAATTAGATTAGCATTGCACAGCCATTGCACAGCGCTCAGTTGGAAGATAGCAGGTTTAACAGGATGTCTCCTAGAATTAATTCATGCGAAGTTGGTAAAAAAGAAACAAACTATGTTGTCGTTATAAACTTCTGATTATGAGTAAGCTTCCCTAGCCACCTGCCTCCAGAAGTGTTGGATTTTTAACTCCCCATAATCTCCACCTAGCATAGTCAGATTCAGGGGCGTTGAAGCTTAAAACATCTGGAAGGTAGCAGATTAAAAAAGCTGAGCTAGAACTTCAAAGATAAACACATTTACTTATAAATACATGCTGCTTAAGTAACCGGTTCAGACTTCAGGGTTACTGAGGTATAATTTTCCATTGTTAAATTAGACGTAGTACATTAATTTGGAAGCATTATTGCTCAGAACTCCAAACCATAAACATTTACTGGCTGCAACTTTCTTTCTTGTGTGCCAACAGTGTCCCCAGTTTCAGCCTACTTTTGACCTTCTGCTTAACAATCCTTGGTACCACAAGCATAGAATTCAGCAGCAATTCCAACAAGCTGCGCGAAAGGTACTGAAACAAATTGCTGCAGGTAAATACACGTATGCAGATACCAGCTGCAGAGAGCTGTACTATTCTTTGCACAGCCTTTTCTATCTTGTGGATATATTTGATCGCTTTGTCTAAGAGATGAGAGCTTTTTAATATTGCATTTGTTGGAGCTGTTACAGATTCACGGTGTACGCACGCATGCATACGGGTCTGCATCTTCATCCCACAAAACCTTTCGGTTTACTTTAAGCGGGGGGGGTTGGTCTATATTTGTCCTTTGCCTAGGAATAAACTCTGTGGATTCCTGTTGGCCTTTTTTTTCCTTGAGTACATATAATAGGATTGCATAAATATTGTTTATGTTTTCTTTTTCCATATAGAGATGTTGCCCTTAATATTTTGCTTTGATGTGAAAAGTTCTAAATTCTGATTAAAATCAAGGATTCTGAGCATTAAAATGAAGGAATTCCAACTAATATATATTATAAAATTATGTTAACCTTTAACATTCATAACTCTCAGTTCTAAATTAGATATCCGTAGACCCTGACCCATAAATCTTCAAGTTTAGAAAAGATGTCTCTCAATTTTCAATAAGCAAGCGGTCTGCTAAATTAAAATCTTTTGAAATACATAATCTCAGCTTAGTCAATATTGTGCACATATTATTCTCTATACAATTTTTCAGATGCACAACTATAAATAATATCCAGTATCTAAGAATAATATCCTATTATCTAAGAATTATAAAATTATCATAATTCAATTCCAGGTTTTAATGAGACATTATATTTCTTTTCCCCACATTGGTGACACTCTTCTATTGATTGACTTCTGTTTTAATGTTCATATTACTAGCTAGTTTGCTTTTAATCTGCTGTTGCAGTTGTTATGTTTACTCTTTTCAATACTTTATTAGGATTTTTTGGTTAAGTACTTGAAGGATACAGAAAATGAGATAGTTAATTTCCCCAAATAAATAAATAAATGACAATAACAAAAGCTGCTACATCACTTTCTGCTTTGTAATTGGCTCAATCCCGATATCATGGTTAAGAAAGTTAACTGGCTGAGTACAATGCTTAATTTGACAGATTATGGCTAGCAATTGTCTAGTAACCAGAATCAAAAACTTTACCATGCAACTTAATGCTCCCTTAATAATTTTTTCCCCCTGTATTTTTGGAAGCTTATTTTTGGAAATGTGGGTGTTCAGTTACAGTTAGGATAAGCCTAGGTATGCAGTATATTTATTCCAATATGTTTAGTCTGTTATTCAGCAATCCCCCATGATATAGCACTTTCCAGATATTTCAGACCTGCAGCTCCCACAGTCATAGCCTATATAACCAAAGACCAGGTTTGCTGGGGATTCTGGGAGTTGTAGTCACCATACTTCTGGAATTCTTTATCTAGGGTAGATGAAGAATGCCATCTTTTCCTACAACTACAATAACCAAATTCTGAGTAATTAATGCATTACAGCCTGCTGATCATCTTCCAGCCCTCAATACTTTTACATCATTTCAGACTATTGAACATTTTGCAGTTCTTGACCTATTTGCAAAAAGTGTGCGTACATTCTTGGATTCCATAAAAACAATGTATTGGCCTGTTGTCTCTAATACATATCTTTAGTGTGTTTGTTTATTGTGCCTTGTTTTAAAAAAGTTTTAATGTGCCACGGGATTATTTGTCTATATGTTTTCAAGATTGTTCTATAAAACTTTATGTTTTTTAATAGAAAAAACTGAGTCTGTCACTTTCCAGGCTGACTGACTGACAGCACCAGCCGATCATATCTCAGAGATAGAGATCACTTTTACAGATTTACTGAAAATCCACTGAATAGTTCTTAATCATTTTCATAGGTCCTGGTTCAGTGCCGGCTAGATAAAGTGATAAATTTGCTTCGTGACGTATTTAAGCGTTTTAGAGACCAAGAAGAGGAGGAGAAGAGATTGATATCAGGTAAACCCTCAGAATTATACACAGCTATTGCCAGTTTTTGTAAGCTTCCCTTACAAATGCAAGTCATTTCATATGTTGCAAGGTAATTATGGCAGCTCAGAAAATACTACTTTATGTGCTGCCCTGATATGTAAAATGTGAAAACATGAAATTTATTACATTGAAATAATTAGAAAAATATTTCCATGAAGAAGTGGCTGCCATTATCAGGTGGTCCATCCCTTTCACTGTGCTGCATCCCCTTGTCAATGGGCCACACCTCACTATTGAAGCTGCAAAATATGGGTAAATTGTCCCATTTGCTTTGACCCATAAAAGTCAAGTGATAGAGCACAAGGAAAAGAAGAAAGGATACAGCTTATCTTCTTTCACGTTCTTGGAATCAAGAGCAGGTAAATGAGTAGATGAAGCACCAGGGTGCTTCTCTGTACATCCTGAGAGGATGAAATGTCACTTACCCAACCTTCTTGTACTTCTGATCTTAGCATTTGTCCATGTCTATCTCCATGCGACAGAATGCAGCAGTTTTAAAACATCCAGCACCGCTGCTATAACCGATGAGGAGAAGAGAATGCCTTTTGCCTTGACTGCAACTCGAATACAGCCTTTTGAATTCCCTACCTACAATCCACCACAGTGGGCTGATGAACTGGTAAGTCCCACCAGGAGGCTACAAACATCGAGTCCTGAAAAAAAGGAGGAACCCTCTTTGAACCCTCTTTTTTCTGTAGTCACCAGTCTCTGGTAGCTATAGACCTGGCATCAATAAGGCTGTCAAAACAAGTTTGTGAACATTGTGAGTACTAAAATTCAATTCTCTTAATTTTCCAAGGAAAAGAATTCCATGATTGTCCTTTGAGATGATCCTATTAAAGGTATTATCCTAAGATAGGCGTTGGGTTTTTTTTCTTACATGAACCAGTATGATCATCATTGTTTTTTAAGTTAAAGCTGATTCAGAAAATGTGTTCATAAATTTATTTATTTATTTAGAAAATGTATATGGCCACCCATCTTAAATACATACTATGGGTGGCTAACAACCAGTTTACCAAAAATAAATAAAAACCCCTATAACCAAACAAACTATAGCTAGAATATAAAAAGAAAGGGTTGGGGCAAGTTGAACAGAGTCAAAGGGGATGGTAATGAAAAATAGAAAGACATTTCTATCATGGAAGAAGGAAGGGATAGGACAGGAAGGGAGGAAAGATGGATCTCTGAAGCTTGCCACCCTCAGTAATTTAGTTTTCAAAAGGCTCTCTCTCTCTGCCAGGATGGAAAATTTTTTTTTATGAAAATCAAGATTCTGTTGATACAATTCCAGCTTTTAAAGGGTTTTGTCATCTTGCTCAGGTGGATAGTGGGCTGGCAATTTCTTGTAGTAATTTGGAACAGAAGGAGCCACTGGCTTTGCTCATGTGATGCTCTATGGCAAAATCTACTTTATTTCTTG